GGAAATGTTTGATTTTTGCTGATGTTCAAAAGGGTTAACAAATGACATCACCGTCCAATACGTGTCTAACCGATAGGCAGTCACAAATAGGGTGACATTATTTATACAATTATTACAATAATGCAGTAATCTGTATAACAGTAAATCTATTTTTGTGTGAATAAAAATTAAAAATGGAAAGCAAGCATAATATCAGAGGGGCCTGGAGATGTGACTAATGAACAGAGAAAATGTTATTTTAGTGCTAGGAATGTCTGCATTGTTTACCCTGGACCCAATTTTGAAACTGGCATCTCTTGAAATTTGTGTGAAATTGGCCAAATTACCAATTTCTGACCATTTTATTGGGTAGTTGAAATAGGTGAATGGGCAGTTTCTCGTACTAAATCGACAGAATAGAAGGAATACTAGCGAAATAGCTATGAGTTTGGTAGACTGGAAGAATGGAATGGGTAAAAAGTAGGGCGCAAGCTGGTGAAATTGCATATGCGCAAACATCGCTGTTGGGTTAAATGTATTCTAACCTAACCACTCTAAACGGGCAAAATCACTAATCCGACACCCTACAGGTCCCAATGATGCCGGATTAGTAATGGCCAACCTGTATGTATTTATTATTGTGTCATTCCATTTTACATGCAGCTGCAAGGAACAGCAGTCTAATTACTCTGATTCGGTAAAAGTCTTTAGAATTATATACACATAGTACAGGCATATTTTGGGGAGGCTCTATGTCATCCTTAATTTACCATACATTTAAGTTAACTATCAAAATTTCTACATTCTACTGTTTCATAATTTACTGCTTACACCTGCACTCATATTATAGCATACATTCTACCGTTTCATAATTTACTGCTTACACCTGCACTCATATTATAGCATATAGAAACTAAAATATTATAATTGTGGAAGCATTTCAGAATGACCAGCATGTTTGAGAAAATGCATACTTATACATCCATGATAAAATTATGCTTCCTATTCCCAGAGGCAAACAATGAACCAAAAATTTTTCATAAAAAATTGTTCACAAAATTTTACATTCAATTATTTCTTGGTATCCATTGACATCACTGAATTTCCAAGTTACTGACATTAATGAGTTTTTCAAGTGTCAAGCTTGGTGACTTGGTAAAATACAGTGGAAAGTTTTCTAACAAATTAATATCAATGTACAGTAGGGCCCCGCTTCTCGGCGTTTTGCCTTATGACGTTCCGCTAATGTGGCAATCTCGGATTATGACCAAAACTTTCTATACAGCAAGTGGTCTTTCAAATACAGCGTGGGCCACCCTGTTTGTTTACATTCTCCATGAGCACATCTTTCTATTATGTAATAATAATCACTCTTGGGCACATTAAACGTCTTATTTTACGTTAATATAGACATTTTAATTAATCCATCTATTATATTTTCTTCAAAATTATATAAGAAACACGTTACATAACATATAAACATTTCGTTTATACACTAAGGAGGTGTGGTAGCCAGGTGGAGGGAAAACATTACGTCACTCCCCTTAATACATAACTATTCTGTTTACAATTCTCGGCATGAATTATTCATTACTTCTCCCTTTGTTTATGATGGCATCTAAAGGTAGTTGTTAGAAACGATTAAACTCAGTGAACATGGTATGTCGATGGTAATATGACTTTGGGCCACATTAAATATCGTGTAGCTATGTAACCCAGGCAGACTACATACCTACATTATTATTATAACTGATAATTATATGTATGTGTACCTGTACCTAAGTAAGCTTACACTCTGTGCTGGCATGCAGGTACACATTAAAATCACTAAGAGTGTCTTATTAGTCTTGAAGATGCCATATTAATGATAATAATAACACAATAATAATCATTCTAAGGAGCACTAAATATCATACAAAATGTTAATGAAGACATTTTGCTTAATCCATCTAAATACACCCCACAGTAGAATAAATTAACAAATATGAGATGTGGTAGCCAGGCAACTTGTAGGACTTGTGACGAAAACCAGACGCATTCATCTGGTTTGTTTACAATATATCTGGGTGGGATGGGGAGGGCTGCCCTTCCTGGCTACCCATACTTCCCAACCTGACTACATGCAAATAAAATTCGCCTCTCACCCTACATTAAGACTACAAATATTTTAAGGTAATCAATGAGTGTACTATATATGCATTTTATCACTCTAGGGAGCTTAATGTTGTAGTAGGTATAAGTGGCCAGGCAGGATGCCATACCTCCCACACGACTTTCTACAAATAAATACTTTTCACCTCTCACCCTACATTAAGACCATTAACCCTTAAGATCTACGTTTTTTCAACATTTGAAAGTATGTAAAAAATGTAGATCCTCTTTTTTCTTTTTTACATTTGAAAAAGTGTAAAAAAACTTTGATCTACGTTTTTTTTGTTATATTTGAAAATATGTTAAAAAACACAGATCTACTTTTGGAGCACTACGCATGTGAACGTAAATTTGTTTGGACAGTTTAACCCTTTCAGGGTCCAGAGGCCAAATTTCAAAGTGTGCACCAGGGTCCAAGAATTTTCAAAAAATAATTTTGTTATTTTTTCTTATGAAATGATAGAGAATCTTTTTCTGAAGGTAATAAAACAAAAAAAACTACGAAATTTGATGGAAAATTGACGAAATTATGCTCTCGTGAATTTTCATGTGTCAGCGATATTTACCAATCGGCGATTTTGCCGACTTTGACTCCCATTTTAGGCCAATTACATCATTCCAGTCAACCAAATTCTTAGCTATTTCACGAGTATTACTTCTATTCTATTGATTGAGCACAAGAAATCGCCAAGTCAACTGTTTCAACTACAAAATAAAGTGATCGGAAATTGGTAATTTGGCCAATTTAACACAAAGTTCAAAATACAGTGGACCCCCGGTTAACGATATTTTTTCACTCCAGAAGTATGTTCAGGTGCCAGTACTGACCGAATTTGTTCCCATAAGAAATATTGTGAAGTAGATTAGTCCATTTCAGACCCCCAAACATACACGTACAAACGCACTTACATAAATACACTTACATAATTGGTCACATTCGGAGGTAATCGTTATGCGGGGGTCCACTGTATTCCAATTTCAAAATAAGGTCCAGATTAAACAATGTAGGAATTCCTGGCACTAAACTAATATTTCCGCTGTTCATTAGTTACGTTTTGAGGCTTTACAAATGAATTACATTATTTTTTATTCACAATGAATTTTTATTCAAACCAAAAAATAGAAGATTTACTGTTATGCAATATTGTAATAATTGTATAAATATCATCACCACATTTGTGAATGTATATTAGACCCACCAGCTGGCGTGTACTAGACGTGTGAGGTCGTTTGTTTACTCTTGAACATCAGCAAAAATTTAAAATTTCCGCTACTTTCAGCTCAGTTTCAAGTCATTTCCAGTGCTAAAACCAATCAAAATCATCTCTATTTCTGTAATATGTCTTCCATTCTATCAAATGAGACCAAGAAATCGCAAATACAACTGTAAAAAACATACGAAAAAACACTGCAAAGTAGCTGTTTTAATCGAAAATCACGGTCTCAGTTCTTTTCTCTCGTTATACACTGTGTGCTGCAGGATTTGTTTTATGTGGTGCACACATATCACATAGATGTTTTCTCTCATATCTAGGCCCAAATTTACCACTCACAGCTTATCAGAGTGAGCTGAGCTCATGGCGTAGATCTACGGTTTGGACCCTGAACGTAAAGCCGTAGATCTACGGCACGGACCCTGAAAGGGTTAAGACTACAAATATTTTGAGGTAAATAATGAGTGTACTGTGTGTGTATTTTATTTTTAATGCCTAGTTCTATTGCTAACTTAATAAATGTTAGTGGCATTTATATGCATTTATAAATGGAAAAAAACGGAGTTCTGCTTTCCGGCAGTAGTCTGGAACCTAACCTGCCACATAAGTGGGGCCCTACTGTATTTTCATGTAGAACAGAGATTCAGTTAGGCTAAGTTAAGTTATGAGAGTGCTTGCTGACAGTATATTTATACATGGGTTATCTTTCTCCTAGCAGAAAAGCATCAGACTTCTGATCAATTGGTGACCTGGGAAAGTCTGAGACATCCCAGAGATTTCTTGTTGTCTATTTAATTTTATTAAATAATTCTCAACCCTCCTTTTAGCACATTTATAGTAATTTAACTAACTTCATTTACATTAATTTATTCGCATTAAACACTACACTACTATACTTTGTTATCCTCTCAAAGATATTGTACTACCCAGACAAATATTACATTGAATAATGATGTTCAGTTTAATTTCATAAGATGCAAAAACCAGTTAAGGAAAAAGCTAGTCTCAAACTGTTATATCTGAGAGCACTTCTTTAACAATTTCAGGATAAATGCAAGCATTATTTAACTACAGTGCACAGCTGGAGACACTGCATATCTTAGCTAAACCGATTCTGCTATAATTAAAAAATCAATATAAATTATTGTGAATTTTAACACAGGGCAACTTATGATTAGTGATTTTTTTTATTGCTTATCATATCAATTTAGTTGAGTCACAAAGCACTAGAAGCCTGAGTGCAGCAATCTTTGGCATTTGAAGGTAGTACAGTAGCTATAGTTTTAACATGACATGGATTTTGCTATATGATATGAAATTTATTGAACAATGCCTAAACACAAAGGATGTGTATTTGTCCAGAAGCCAAGTAATGAAGAGTTTGCTGAAAGCTATTTAGATAGCAAATCGTGTCATTACAATTTTGCGAGTCAATGGGTAGTGACCAGTTTATAGGTTACGACAGTCAAGGTTAGATTAAAAATGTTATTTAAAATAAATGAAAATGGCACATGTGGCAATGAGTCAATATCTAAGTACTTCTGAGTACCCAGCTGTCAGACAAATAACATTAGCCAATCACAAAATATTATCTGGGTAGTATACATTTTTAGCAAGGCTCATTTACACAGGACAAAAATCAGGAATATTTCCTACCTGCACTTCCATCACTCTCTGCTCCACTTCTTCCCATGTAATATTGCCAAGGTCATTGTCGTGGATGCCCAGTGCCTTGTTGAAGAAGAGCTTGATTTCCCAGAATTGGAAGAGGGTGAAGCCAGCGTGGACAAGACGAAGCAGCCAGATTACCACTGATAGTACAATGATGAAAACCAATAACCAGTTGAAGTGTTCCAAACATTCATCACAAGTGCGTATAGCATCAAGCAGTGTTATTTTGTCTGTCGCATTAAAATTTTTTGGAGATCTGTTTCTGAATAGAATATCGTAGTCTACACAAGTAAACAGGAAGGAGGTGAATACAACTACAAATATAAACTGAACAAGTTCGAATAACTGTTGCAGCATCATACACAGCATCCCATGGTTTTGATGATATTGATACACCCGTGTGAAGAAGGAATCCAAATCTTCCAGGTGGTTCCACCTTGACTTGCTGGACTTGGGAACAACGTGAAATACCATACTGGTGTGTGTATCTGGGGAGAGATCATCATCTCTCTCCCCATCCTCTCCTCTAGAAATTCCATCTCTGTCACTCGCCCCTCCTAAGGGCTGGTAGCTTGTCTGGAAATTCTGAGACATGATGGAGTATCAGCACATGCACGTACGAGTTAATTATCACGCCAATCATTCATAGATCCAATTAACCGCTTAGTTGATGGTTACCACGTTCCAATCAGCTGATTACCCAAACAGGTACAAGCTCGTCTAGTTTAACGACACCACTAACTCTATTCTTCACCTCCCAGCTCCTCCGCCTCTTCTCGTTCTTCACATCTTGGCTGCCTCTTGGCACTATCTACTACATGCTAAGTGTCTCTGTACAATGGGGTGTCTATAAAGAGAGAACTACGCATGTAAACTGGAGAATTGCGTTTCATTCTCCCCCAGTTCGTGTCTCACCAACTGTTCTAACATCGCTCTCTCATGGCCTTCACCTAACTTGCCTTTGTCTTCACTTTCTCATTTATTCTCCAATATAGCAGCATCAACGGTCAAATACTGCCTTCCGTGCGGAGGGAAGACATTTTCATTGCTGGGCAAAAATGTCAAAATGACGGACAGGTGAATAATTTAAGAGAATAAATGTATTATGTTGATGGCGTACGTGAGTAGCACTTGGCAACCCTCGCTCGTCTCGGCTCACCCAAACAATGACATCATTTATCTACATCATCTCCTAACATTAAATATTCTCCATTATCACATCCATTAGCTAAATTATCATTATATAAATAAGGTAATGGACAAATTTATATCACATACCCCTGAAATACTAACGATAACCCCTTAACACGTCATAATTATTTTTGAAAGGTTTTTGGCCATAATTCAGCACAAATTTAACCAATAACCAAGCCGATATATTTATAGCACACGTACAAGCTTTTCATGCCATACAAAAGCCCCACAGTAAGGACACCTGCAAATTTCTTTAATATTCTACTTACCTTCTACGCCATCTTGCAAGTAAACAAATCACTTGTATTCATTCTTGGCATTGTGTTACACTTACTCAGGTTTTCTGTAATATAAAGCTTCCTCCAGAGTCTCGCGACATTCACACAGAATATGTTAGTGGTAGAATAAGGCTGAGTTAACTAACAAGAAGCACTCAGAAACATATCTTGCTGGAGGAATCGATAATGCAACACTCTTTCGCGCCAAACTTTTCGAACGTCGAGTTTGACTTTACTTCACTCATCCGAATACTCGGTCGTCAGGTCTGGTATCCTTTCCTCTCTCTTGATATAGATGGTACTAATCGCAGCTCTTTCATGATTATATTACACTGTTGTTAAGTGTCTTTAATAAACAAAGGCTGTCGTTAGTAAAGTAGTAGAATAAAGATGGTATCAGATACCGATAAATGCGAAATAAGAAACGAGTAATACTACATTAATTAATGAAGAACCGTCTTTGCGCGAAACGTCTTCTCAATAAATATCCTAGTACTACACATATGTCTTGTTTCTCACTAAATCATTGCTATACCGTAGTCTGCTGATGGGTGGGGTCAAGCGAAGTACATATTCGGACACGAACATAGTCCAATATGGCCGAATTTTGCTAGTGTATGATTGGTCAGCTGGGGAGTCCATCATGGCGGTTTGTTATTCCGCGTGATATGATAGTGACCCGCGGGAAAACCTCCTTGTATCGTTACTTCCCTCTATGCCCAGCAATTTACACTAGTGCACGTAACCACCAGTAAGTCGAGCGGTTTAATATAACGGCAGTATCGCAGATAGTCACGTGTATGGTGGGTTATACGGGGAATTAAGAGAGGCCTTGCAAATATTTTAGAAGTTTTTTTTTAAATAATGCAGGTATTTTGATTTTTTTTAATTATTCTGGTTACGCAAGATGCTACATGATTCTGTAAGTCATCGAGTGAGACATAATAAGTATAAATAGCAGTGGATCTCTAACTACCTGATATTTGTAGGAAATCGATTTAAATGTTTATAAACATACTTTATTTTTCTCTTTGGACTATATTCAAAATCAATAAGAAAAAATAAATAAATGTTGTTATATAATTTTTGTATGATTCTGATCTGTTTGTTAAGGCTTCATACATAATTTTAAACTTTTTATGGTTTTAAGTAAATTATTTTGAATTTCACTATGGATAACTCGCTGAATAAATAAGTTTTTAGGTACAGGTACAGATAAGAACAATTATATAGTTTAACATGTGTGTTAATTACCTAGGATAACCTAGTATATCTTTTATTGTAACTGCTTTTACACAGATATTTACCTGTTTTTAACTTTAATTTAAATTATAATTATCACAAGGACCCAATGGAAATAAGTCGCTCAGACTTTTTTGGGTTATCCTAGGTACTCTACACATGCTGCTATGTATGATAATCACTGTAACTGTGTATACCTGAATAAACTTACTCACTTAGACAAAATGACTTATTTTCATTGGGGTCCTTGTGTTACACAATTATTTTAAACTGGACATGTATATACGTGCTGTGGCCCTGACTGGGTGACGTTGTAAATGGTCCAGGTCGGACCGAAATGTCGTCATAAGCTCCTCCGGATGCAACACCCCAGCAATTCCAGGAACAGCTGTTAAAAATTGACCACTGTCTGGAAAATCCGCCAGCTCCTGCACCCAACATCTTGCTCCTGGGGGATTTCAACTTAAGGTACCTAAAATAGAGGAATATAGCAAATAATATTGTTGCAGTAATAACACCAGGAGGCAGCTCTGATGAAAATTCACACTCACACGAGCTTTTAAATCTCTGCACAAAATTCAGTTTAAACCAGCAAATAATAGAGCCTACTAGACTAGAGAATACACTAGACCTCATCTTCACTAACAATGATGATCTGATACGAAATGTCACCATATCAAAAACAATATACAGGTCTCCCTCAACATTCACGTTTTCAACTTTCACGGGCTTCACACATTCGCGAATTCCCAACCGCCAAATTCCCAGCCGCCAAATCATATTTAAGTTTCCCACCATCTGCGAGTCCCTACTACCCTTCCTCCGACCCCCGCAGCTGGCAGCCAGCCCTCCCACCACTCAGTGTGGTGAGTGTTTTGTTTGTTCATTATTTGCTATTAAACTACAGTATAAATAATGTAAACCCATTCATGACTGCATATTGGAATGGCTATTCAGACAGGTATTAGACGGTGACATCATGTGTTTACTCTTGAACACTGCAAAGAATTAAACATTTCTGCTACAGCTAATAATAACAATAGTAATAATAATAATAAATATGATATAATTGAAGAAGGAAATTGTACAAAAATACGAGGGAGTGGTTGACACATCGTCAGTGTGACTTTGTTTATGCTGGAGTGAAAAATTAGTCTCCGTGCTCCTCCAAACATTTCACAATAATTCATTGTGTTTGGTGCTTGTAGATCGAGTGTGACTGGAGTGGTAGAGACAGTGATTGAGGCAATGGTATTTAATAACATACATGTTAATAATAATACATGTTATTAATAATATGTACTATTATTATGTATAACATATGTGTTATTAAATACCACTGCCTCAACCGCTGAACTATTGTGAAATGTTTGGAAGAGCAGGGAGACTAATGTTCACTCCAGCATAAACAAAGTCACACTGACGATGTGTCAACCACTCCCTCGTATTTTTGTACAATTTCCTTCTTCAATTATATCATATTTATTATTATTATTATTATTATTATTATTAATAATAATATTATTGTTATTACTATTGTTATTATTAGCAATAGCAGAAATGTTCGATTCTTTTCTGTGTTCAAGAGTAAACACATGATGTCACCGTCTAATACCTTTCCTAATAGCCATTCCAATATGCAGTCATGAATGGGTTTACATTATTTATTCTGTAGTTTAATAGCAAATAATGAACCAACAAAACACTCACCACACTGAGTGGTGGGAGGGCTGGCTGCCAGCTGCGAGGGTCGGAGGAAGGGTAGTGGGGACTCGCAGTGATGGAGGCATTGGTGGAGGCAGTGGTGGAGTCTGTGGTATTTAATAACATACATGTTATTAACATACGTGTTATTAAATAACATACGTTATGTATATATTTAGTACAGTGGACCCCCGGTTAACGATATTTTTTCACTCCAGAAGTATGTTCAGGTGCCAGTACTGACCGAATTTGTTCCCATAAGAAATATTGTGAAGTAGATTAGTCCATTTCAGACCCCCAAACATACACGTACAAACGCACTTACATAAATACACTTACATAATTGGTCACATTCGGAGGTAATCGTTATGCGGGGGTCCACTGTATGTATATATTTAGTACAATTTACGACGTTTTCATGTATTTTATGATTATTCATGGTTCAACAAGTTAAAGAAGCAGTATTGTAATATATTTCCCTACAATATATTGGGGCACCAAACATTCACGGTTTTTCAACATTCGCGAGGCTCTTGATCCCCTAACCCTCGCGAATGTTGAGGGAGACCTGTACTCAGATCACAACATAATTGAGGTTCAGACATGTATGCGCGGAGCCCCAGACTGACATAATGAGATTAGTCACGAGGGAGCATTCACCAAATTCAACTTCAATAACAAAAACATAAAGTGGGACCAAGTAAACCAAGTCCTAACCGTTATAAGCTGGGAAGATATACTAAGCAACACAGACCCCAACTTATGCCTAGAACAGATTAACTTGGTGGCACTCGATGTATGCACAAGGCTTATTCCTCTAAGAAAAAGGAGGAGTAGATGTGAAATAGAAAGAGACAGGCGACAGAAAAGAATAACAGAGCGGCTAAAAGAGGTCAATATATCTGAAATGTGTAGGGAGACACTGGTCAGAGAAATAGCAAGCATCGAACTTAAGCTAAAGGAATCTTATAGGAGTCAGGAATCGCGGGAAGAACTAAAAGCCATAAATGAAATTGAAAGAAACCCAAAGTATCTCTTCTCCTATGCCAAATCAAAGTCGAGAACAACGTCCAGTATTGGGCCCCTACTTAAACAAGATGGGTCCTACACAGATGACAGCAAGGAAATGAGTGAGCTACTCAAGTCCCAATATGACTCAGTTTTTAGCAAGCCACTAACCAGACTGAGAGTCGAAGATCAAAATGAATTTTTTATGAGAGAGCCACAGAATTTGGTTAACACAAGCCTATCCGATGTTATCCTGATGCCAAATGACTTCGAACAGGCGATAAATGACATGCCCATGCACTCTGCCCCAGGGCCAGACTCATGGAACTCTGTGTTCATCAAGAACTGCAAGAAGCCCTATCACGAGCCTTTACCATCCTATGGAGAGGGAGCATGGACACGGGGGTCGTCCCACAGTTACTAAAAACAACAGACATAGCCCCACTCCACAAAGGGGGCAGTAAAGCAACAGCAAAGAACTACAGACCGATAGCACTACATCCATATCATAAAAATCTTTGAAAGGGTCTAAGAAGCAAGATCACCACCCATCTAGAAACCCATCAGTTACACAACCAGGGCAACTTGGGTTTAGAACAGGTCGCTCCTGTCTGTCTCAACTATTGGATCACTACGACAAGGTCCTAGATGCACTAGAAGACAAAAAGAATGCAGATGTAATATATACAGACTTTGCAAAAGCCTTCGACAAGTGTGACCATGGCGTAATCTGTGCACAAAATGCGTGCTAAAGGAATAACAGGAAAAGTCGGTCAATGGATCTATAATTTCCTCACTAACAGAACACAGAGTAGTAGTCAACAGAGTAAAGTCCGAGGCAGCTACGGTGAAAAGCTCTGTTTCCACAAGGCACATGTACTCGCTCCCATCTTGTTCCTCATCCTCATATCTGACATAGACAAGGTGTCAGCCACAGCACCGTGTCTTCCTTTGCAGATGACACCCGAATCTGCATGACAGTGTCTTCCATTGCAGACACTGCAAGGCTCCAGGCAGACATCAACCAATCTTTCAGTGGCTGCAGAAAACAATATGAAGTTCAACGATGAGAAATTTCAATTACTCAGATATGGTAAACATGAGGAAATTAAATCTTCATCAGAGTACAAAACAAATTCTGGCCACAAAATAGAGCGAAACACCAACGTCACAAGACCTGGGAGTGATCATGTCGGAGGATCTCACCTTCAAGGACCATAACATTGTATCAATCGCATCTGCTAGAAAAAATGACAGGATGGATAATGAGAACCTTCAAAACTAGGGAGGCCAAGCCCATGATGACATTCTTCAGGTCATTTGTTCTATCTAGGCTGGAATATTGCTGCACACTAACAGCACCTTTCAAGGCAGGTGAAATTGCTGACCTTGAAAATGTACAGAGAACCTTCACGGCGCGCATAACGGAGATAAAACACCTCAATTACTGGGAGCGCTTGAGGTTCCTGAACCTGTATTCCCTGGAACGCAGGCGGGAGAGATGTATGATTATATACACCTGGAAAATCCTAGAGGGACTAGTACCGAACTTGCACACGAAAATCACTCAGTATGAAAGCAAAAGACTTGGCAGACGATGCAACATCCCCCCAATGAAAAGCAGGGGTGTCACTAGCACGTTAAGAGACCATACAATAAGTGTCAGGGGCCCGAGACTGTTCAAGTGCCTCCCAGCATACATAAGGGGGATTACCAACAGACCCCTGGCAGTCTTCAAGCTGGCACTGGACAAGCACCTCAAGTCGGTTCCTGACCAGCCGGGCTTTGGCTCGTACATTGGTTTGTGTGCAGCCAGCAGTAACAGCCTGGTTGATCAGGCTCTGATCCACCAGGAGGCCTGGTCACAGATGGGGCCGCGGGAGCATTGACCCCCGGAACTCTCTCCAGGTAAACTCCAGGTGTTCTATGTGCGGGTTATTTGTGTATAGTGCTGTCTTATCCTCTACCCTAAGTGACGTTAATGACATAAAGCGGTAATGAATTTATTGAATAAATCATAACCTTTTCAACAATCATGAAATCACTTTTCCTCCCTCTTTGCAACTTCATTCATTGGACTATATCTCATAGGCCAGTGGTACATGGCTGAACTTGTTGCCAGTCAGGGCCACAGTTTGAGTCCCTGTCCATTCTTCATTCATTAGATATTCTTTGACTCTGTTTTTAAAGAGTTTTGTATTAAAACTTGATATGATTGAGTAACTTATTTCGTACCTTTATTGCTGTGTAATAATGGTTTGTTTCCTGGCCACCTACTGTAGTTACTACAAAATTGTGTTTACTTCCCATAGCATCATACTGGCTTTGGTTAAGATAAGATTTGTCAGGATTATTAAGAGTGCATCATCGAGAACTGTTTGTCTTATTGCCATTGGGGTCCTTCAGTCTCGTCAGCTAACTAACGCTCAGGTATCTGCTTACTGCTAGGTGAACAGGGGACAGCAGGTGTAAGGAAACAGGCCTAACATTTCCACTTGGCCAGGGATTGAACCATACACTCTCAGTGTGTGAGGAGAGATCATTGCCTACTGAGCCACAGGACCTAACCTTTCTAAAATTTGCAGCAAGATAGAGCCATATGTACTTCACTCCATGGTGTGTGTTTTTATGTAAATACATTGGTACAGCCTCTCCTCACTTAGCGACGTACTTGTTTACCTACGACTCAGACTTACAACGGACCTTCTGACCAGTATGCATACCTAAATAATGTATATTAGAGTGGATTTCCTCTA